CAGAGAATTACTTGAGAAAACCTTCTGAGATTTCAGCCTACCTGGTCCCTTTGTTTCATAACTAGACTGAGCATAATGAATGCAAAAACTCTGTGAATAGAGCTCAGCAGGGCCTACTTCTTTCTCCTGGCTCCTGTGATAATAATAATTTGATTTTATAGGTGTCTATCCTCAGACCCCGGCGAGGGAGCAATCTTTACTGAGTCATGAACTTTCACATCATTAAATCCCTCTACATTTATTTTAAACATATCAAAAGTGTCAAGTAACTTTAGATCCACTAAATTTTATGTGCTCTGGGTGAGATGAAGTTTGGCCGCTGGGGAAAATGAGTGGAACAGTTTCCTGAGCAGCTGGGAAGGGATTTGGGAGCGATTCCACCCTCGGAGCAGAGAGCAGGCCCCCTGCACAGGACGAGTGTGCACGAGGACAGGAACCTGAGTAATCTCCTCCCAGTCTGAAGGGAATATTAAACTCTTCTGTCAGTTGGATGGATATTATTTATGGCCCTTTTTTTTATTGTTGTTGTTGTTGATTTCAAAAAATATTTCTTTGTTGGTGCAACGCTGACTCCCGATAGAAAGTGATGAAATGCCCAATATGTTAAAAAACCTTATCACTAAATCAGAGGCAGAACTATAAATTTGGGCTTTTGAAACTGAACTGACTGTTGAGGATCATTTTGCTCCTGAAATATTACAGCAGTGATCAATTTGCTGTAAAATTAAGCAGTTTAGCTCGGCAATCTATAGATGGAAAACATGTTGTTCTTGAGCAAAGTTTATGCCCTGCCCAAGGGATAAATTAAATTTTATGGGTAAGACATGCATTATTATACGCTTATCTGTTTAACATATCATTCTTTTCCACATCAGTATTATAAATATTTTTAATCATACATTTGATCTCTTGTGCATATAGTGATATGGTAATTCCCCCTGCCCCCCTCAAAAAATACAACCAAACGCAGCTAATTCATCACAGAACAGGGGAGAATATTCTAATCTTGCCCAGAAATGTGCTGAAGGCTGAAGCTGAGGCTCCTGGAATTGGGGCCACTTTGCAATCACTCAGTGGGATAAAATTTTCCTGAAGGAAGGGGTGGAGCTGCGTTCCTCATTTTTATTACAGGGGTTATTATTGAATATTTATCTTACAAGGCTCTAATCAAACCTGGGGGTCGCAGTCCAAAACAATTCAGTCACAAAAGTTTGGAAAAGTGGGGAAAGAAGTCCATTTAGCAAACCTGTTAATAAGGTTTATAGATTTCTGCTGGTTTTCCTTGAATTCTCCACATGGGAGTCAAAGCTCTCAGACTGGCCCCAGCCCTGGCTTTCCAACAGTGGGAAGTGTGCACAGAAATGGATCTGAGAGGAGGAGGAGGGAGAAGCTGTGAATCCTCTGCCTTTCCCAGAGCAGAGAGCAGGGAGAGCATCAAAAAAAAAACCCAACAGGGAGAAAAAAGTGTCTCCAAGATTAAATAATCCAACTGTGAAGAAAGCATTATTATTTCTATCACATATCCATTATACATTTACAGCTGAACACGTTTGGGATTTCCCACCTGCCCAAGCCATCCCACAAGAGCTGCTCCATGCTCCTGAGGAGCTTTGCCAGGACAAACCTGAGCTGCAGCAGCAGGACGTGAGCAAAGCCCAGGCTCTGCATCCAGGGCCAGCTTGCCACTGGCCTCCCTGGATTCTGGAATGAGCCCCAGCTGGGACAGCAGAATTCCTTCAGACTCCTCCTTGTCTGCTGGAGGAGAGCAAGACAAAGGAGGTGGTTCCAGGCCCAATATCTCCCACAACTCAACTACACTTGATTATTATTTGCTTCTCACAGCCTGAAAAGAATCCCACTCCCAGATTTGTCTGTCTCAGCCCTGCTGAAGCTGAGCACTTTCATACATATGTATGGATAGCTTAAGTTTTTATGAGCATAATTTGGGCTTTTCAAAATAGTGACACAATAACAAAGCAAAATTGAGACACGCATGTAATTTGAATACTGATTTGGTTTTATCTTTTCCTGGTGCTGGCACTTTTGATGCTGCTCTTTTCCACTCCATCTTCCCTCTGTTCTTATTTCCCAATGAATGGAATTAGTTGGGAGGGCATCGGTGGCTTCTACCAACCAACAACAAACCCAAACCCAAAACCAAACTCAAAACCAAACCGAAACCAGAACCAAAACCGCTACCAAAACAAAACCAAAACCCAAGCACAAACCCAAAACCAAAGCGAAAACCAAACCCAAACTCAAACCCAAACCAAACCCAAACCCAACCCAAAACCAAACTCAAAACCAAACCAAAACTGAAACCAAAACTAAAACCAAACCAAACCAAAAACCAAAACCAAACCCGAACCTGAAACCGAAACTGAAACCGAAACCTTACTAAAACCCAAGCACAAACCCAAACCCAAAACCAAACCCAAAACAATAACCCAAACCAAAAACCCAAACCCAAAACCAAACTCAAAACCAAGCCCAAATCCAAACGAAGCCAAACCCAAACCCAAACCCAAACCCAAACCCAAACCCAAACCCAAACCAAACCCAAAACCAAACCCAAAACCAAACCCAAACCCGAACCAAACCCAAACCCAAAACCAAACCCAAACTCAAACCCAAACCCAACCCAAACCCAAACCCAAACCCAAACCCAAACCAAACCCAAAACCAAACCCAAACCCAACCCAAACCCAAACCCAAACCAACACCCTGCTCCGTGACCTCCCTGGGGTTTTGGGGAGTTGCTGCTGCCTCAGTTTTCCATCAGCTCTCAGAGCTGTGCTCCTGCTGCTCCCGTCAGGGAAATTCTGGCCCCGTTCTGTGCAGCCCCAAAGCACGAGCCCTGAGTTTCGTTTCTGCATTCCGAGGGTGCTCCAAGGGCCTCTGCTGGTTTGGGTGCTTTGGGTCCAACACGCCCAGAGCTGTTTGCATCCCCCTGCAGCTGCAGGACAGAGTTCCCAGTGCTCCCCACAGGAGCCAGGGCTGTGTCTGCTCTGCTGCTGGGGCATCTCCCAGGCTCTGAGAACCAGAAATGCCGAAGCTCTGACCTGTCTCCTCGCCCTTTTTTGAGGTTTCTGAGGCAAACCCCCAGCCCTGTCACACCTGAAGAGCAGCACAGAGGCCCCTCAGACAGATCTGAGCCGTTCTGTGTCGTGGAGAGTCTGATCCTCAAAATTATTCATTAAAAATACCCACTTAATAATTTCAAAGAGAAAGCTGAAAGATGCTCAGGGGCAATCTGTGAACAGGAAAAGGGGGTTAAATTCACCTAATAAATTATTTGCAGACTGAATAATTCATGGGAAATCCAGGGTGCATTTAGAGGGGTTTGATGGGGGCTGTCAGCTCCTCTGGAGTGGGAAGACACCTCAGAACCTGGCATTTTCTCAGGCACCATCTCAGTACAGCAGAATTTCCACCTGGAACCAGATGTGTGGGTGAAGTTTTGTGTCCCTGACCCCAGCCAGTGCCTGGTGGTAGAGGAAAAGCCATTATAAAAAATCTCAGACCTGCTTTATCCTGTCCCTATCCGACTGGAGGCTCCTGGCAGTGGGCAGAAATGGGAATTCAGGGTTTGGGACAGCCAGGACAACCTGGAGCCACATCCACGTGCTGGAACTTCGCAGTGTGAGCAGATTGAAGTGAAGCAGAGGTGGGGCTGAGTGTGAGGCTGCAGCTGTGGATCAGTTACTGGTCAGGGATTGCTGTGCCACAGACAGGCTCCAAATTATCAGATAGAAATGTAAATGAAGATCTGAGACCTTGCTGGGTCTGTAAACACTGGGCTTCATCTCGTGGCAAAGGGTTAAACCCAGCACTAGCACTGGGTTTATTTTAACTTGGGATAAAGTTTCCAAGAGGTCCATGAAAATAAGCTGAGGTTGGTCCAAATGCAATGGAAAACCTGGAATTTTAGTACATGAAGCAGGTGATGAAAGCAGCACATGAAACTTTGTAAACAGAGGTGTTAAAACAAATTTAATAATAGACTTTTTAAACTCCCAGATCACTGTCAGAGTATATATGTGTTAAAAGACCTATAAATATATTTTAAAACAATCTATTTTCCTTTCACTTAGCTGCCAAGATCTCCATTAGGAGGTTTGTGTTTCCTTCCAACATTAAAGAATCTCTCTAACATCTGTAGCGATGAGCAGTGAAGAGTGTCAGCTCTGCTTCTGAAACAAGCAGTGCCACCATCTGAAGGAGAAAAAACGTGAAATAATGAATATGCTTCTGCAGATCAGGCTGCTGTGTGCACCAGGAGAGGCGCACAGCCTCGTGCCAGGTTTGATCTCCCCAGTTTCTCCTCTCCACCTCCAAGGAGTGCAGTTAATGATGCAACACTTGGAGAAAGTATTGCCCAGAGGTGCTGAACCCTGGCACAAAGAGCCACACTAAACTGCAAGGGCTGGGCTGGGCTGGGCTGGGGGTTCCTCTCCTCCCAAGGACTGAGCTTTTTTTGGTATAACCAGGACAAGCTGGCAGCCATATCCACATGTTTGAACTTGATAACTTGAGCAGATTAACTTTAAAGTTAAGCAGATGTGGGACCAAGTGTGAGAGTGCAGGTGTGGATCATTTACTGATGATCATTTATTGATCCAGGTATGGATCATTTACTGATGATCATTTATTGGTCCAGGTGTGGATCATTTACTGATGATCATTTATTGATCCAGGTATGGATCATTTACTGATGATCATTTATTGATCCAGGTATGGATCATTTACTGATGATCATTTATTGGTCCAGGTGTGGATCATTTACTCATATATTCCCTTCAAGGACTCTGCTGGTGTTCCCTTCCTTCCAGGAGTCAGGAACAGAAAGGGATCCCAGCACAACACGAGCTAATCCCAGCTTCACTGGAGCAGCCATGACTCTAAAAATTATCTGCTTTTTTTCCATGAAGGCTCCCAGGACAGCAGCGTTGGACGGGGGTTGAGGAGGTTTGGGAATGTTTTTAATATGTTATTGGGAACCAGCACAACACGAGCTAATCCCAGCTTCACTGGAGCAGCCATGACTCTAAAAATTATCTGCTTTTTTTCCATGAAGGCTCCCAGGACAGCAGCATTGGACGGGGGTTGAGGAGGTTTGGGAATATTATTATTATTATTGTTGTTATTATTATTATTATTAAATTTTTAGTTGTTATAGTAATAATAACAATAATAGTTATTATTATTTATTTACACAGAGTGACCTGCATTGAAAGGGACCTGAAAGCTCCAGCCTTGCCAAGGCAGGGACACCTTTCACTGTCCCAGCCCCAGTGTCCAACCTGGCCTTGGGCCCTTCCAGAGATCCAGGGGCAGCCCCAGCTGCTCTGGGAAGTGCATTCTATTCTATTTCTATTCTATTTCTATTCTATTTCTATTCTATTTCTATTCTATTTCTTCCCACCCTCAGAGGGAACAATTTCCTCCCAATCTCTGAAATAAACCTTTCCTCTGGCAGTTTGAAGCCATTCCCCCTTGTCTATCAGTCTGTCCATGTTTTTTTAGGTCCCTTTCAGGTACTGGAAGGGGCAATTAGGTGACCCCACAATCTCTTGCAGCAGCTTTGGGCCCTCCTGCACTTCACTCCCCCTCAGGAAGGGAAGCACCCCATTTTCTGTGGTTTAATGATGGATCATTTATGTGGTTTAAGGGTGGATGTGGGAGTGATGGCCAAGAGCTCAGCCCCTGCAGGAGCAGGCAGTGTCCCAGTGCCCACAGGTAACAAACCATGGCCAGCAGCTTCACCTCAGCTCTCCCAGCACAGCACAGGCACGACACCTGCCCAAAGCAAATCAGCCATGACAACGAAAATGGCTCTAGAAGCAGAAATGTCTCAGGAGCTGCAGGGCCCCCAGGGGCAGCAGAGCTCGCAGACACTTCCAAGCAGAGCTCCTCGCCCCAACCAGAAATGCAGAGCAGCCCCTGTGGGTTGTGGGCTGTGTAAATGGTGTGCAATGCTCAGGAGACACAGCTGATAAATGCTCGTTCTGCCTAAAACTGCAGGACGTTCACAGCACGGAGAGCTGCACAAATACTGCAGATAGTCCCAAATCTGATGTGGAAAATCGCAATTAGGCATGGAAATGTCTCTTACCTAATCTAGACAGGGTGTCCTGCCACTTCAGCAGGGGAGAGAGGCCATGCACTGCAGTGAGAGTCAAAAAGAACCAATTTTTAACGATTTTCAACAACGTCCTGGGTTTCACTTTAATCTCAGGACTATCTTACCCGGCTGTACTTCTCATTTCAGCTGCCCTGAACTGGAGAGCTGTATACCCAAATGCACAGGCACCACGGTGAGTGTGTGAGGATGTAATTTATAAAGACATAGGGGGATTCCAACCACGACATTTGCAAATCTGAAGATTTTAAAAGCTGATTCCCAGGACTCCTGTGTCAAAGCCAGAGGTTCAAAACCACAGTGGTTAAAAGGGAGATAATAAACTGCTCACTACTTGACCTTAACTACAATGAAGAGGAAAAATCAGTGTTAATCTTGCTACACAAGCCTTAATCTATTTTATTTTTTGCTTAGCTTTCCTTTTTTCAGCATCTATGTAATTTTATATATAAGATATGCAAGGGTTTACATTTATTATCTGTACACACAATCAACCCAAATTGCTAATTCATCCTTAATTCTTTTGGTTCAAGTTACACACTCCGTGTTATTTTAACATAAGGCTTTTTTGTAATGTAATGATATTTAATTTGCATTAGCACAAGTGACATACAATAGATCATGCTATTATCATGATTGATATCAGATGAACTGGCATAAATTCAACGTTATAAATTGAGCCTATAAATGAAACTCTGATTTTACAGGAATTACTGGCCTAGAAAGGCTAAGGACCCTCAAGTCAACCTTACTCAAACCCACTCTTTAGAGCTTTATATGTTTTATGCCTGCAATAAATGCTTTTCTGAAAGCCCATAACCTGCAAAAAATATAAAAAAGTCATTGGAAGTCTATTAATTATAATAATCCCATCCAAAAAGCTGTGAGGGCTTATTTTTGTGACATCACTCTTTGATTTCTTACTGCCTTAAATTATCCCTTTGTTGGCTGGGTGAGGGTAACAGTCATACTTTTGTCATTAAATATAAGGAGTTTTAAAGCCTGATCCACCCCAGCTCTAATTGATATTGCTTTCATTTGGCAGATAGTGACCTGATTTATAATTTAAATATGCATCATTATATGCACCTCTTCTGTATAATGAAAAAGTGAAGTTACTCTCATCTTCTCCTGCAATGTTAACATCAAGGAAAAGTATCTTCCTTTTTTTCCCCTTTTATACTTAGAGCCTAATTGAAAACTGTTCATTGAATTTCAACATGATAGAAAAGTCTTTTTATCTCTCAATTTGTCCATTAGCTATTATAATTGAAGTATCTGCTCCACTGCTGAATTGATATTGTTCTTGTTTAAATTCGGGATTTCTCTAAACCTTCTCGGAGGCAGCAACTCGCACAAAAACTGGGCTTGGGAGGGAGGAGTGGGCACAGGGGAGCAGCAGTGCCAGGAGCAGAGCTGCCGGGGCAGGGAGGCACGGCTGCTCCTGCAGAACGTGTTGCACACCCTCTCACCAGCGTGGCCAGAAGGTTTGCTAATTGCCACATCTGTTCAGCAGCTGTCAGATGTTTGCCATATGCTGCCATCAATATTACAGCAGAGTACATTACAGGGAGTTTTATTGTGTTCCACTGTTATTTATTTGCCACAGACATTACCACAGCCAGTGACGTCTGTTGATGTTAGATCACTAATTATATTTTAAAAGCTGCATGCAAAATCCAGGGGTTTCAGCCTCCTCAGCCCCCATTTCTGATGATGTAAATGAGAATGTTTCCTCTACAGATCTCTGAGCTGCTTTATAAACTTCTATCTCTTCTCGTGGTAAATAATTCTTCTGCAAAATAACTTATTTATGTTGTTTTCGAAGGAAGTTTCGTGTTTCTAAGCCCACGTTGTGTTTTAATGGTGATGCTTGTGAAAACTCAAACTTCTTTTTCAGAACCCACTTCACTGCATGGTTTTTTCCATCAGGGCACAGGTCAGGGATGGAGGACAATTCAGCTTTGCAGCTCAGAAGGTTGATACCAGTTCTGCTCCCAGACCTGCCACTGACTCAGCCCACGGCCTCGATTCTTGCAATGATGTGATTTCCCAATCTGTGAGCCAAGCCCTGCTGTGCCCTCAGACTGTGGGGTGAGCCAGCACCTTCCCCGCCACCAATCTGCCCAGTGCTGCTGCTCTTTTAACCATTCTTGCAGGGATTTTGGAGACAACTCTTTTCAAGTGGCTTTTTTGCCACCACGGCAGGGAAAGAGGAAGCAGAGATTGACAATGTGCAGACGAGGCAAAATCTGCATGATGCGATTTAATGTGAGTTGATAGGTGTCACTGATCTCTATTATAAATAGACTGTGTGAATTCCATATGATGTATTATTTATCTGTTGTAGATGCCTTTTTGTTTCATTAATAAACCTGGAAATCAGACGTATACATTTCCAATGATGAGATTTTGGCAATACAAGGCATTGTGACATTTGTCTGCAATTGCTCAATTATTTTGATGATTTTCTTCTTCCTTCTCTATAAATGATTAATGCTTGAGATGTTTGTTCAAGATTCTCCTGATTTTAGCTCATTTGTCCAGCTGAGTTCTTTTTTCCTCCTCTAATTAGGGAAGATTATTGCAGTGTAAGGACTTCCAGTGTGACCTGAATTCCAGTTCCTGGGAGATGCTGCACTGGGACACACGACAGGGGCCCCTGGCTGAGGTCTGGGGCTCTGGGACACCCAGGAAATCTCACATTAACCATGAGGTTTCCATTTCAGTCTGCCTCAGAGCAGAAACTCCTCTGCTGTTATTCTACCTACACGTGAAAACATTTCCATGGTATTTCTGCGCTTGAGAAAGTTCAGAAAACACTTTGCTGTTTATTCAGACAGGAAAGGACTTGAATTTCCCCATTTCTGCAGAGAACAATAAGCAGCAGCAGGAGCTTTCCACTCGTGCTCTCAGAAGAAGCACAAGGACATCCCTGAAGACTACAGGGCAAAGAATGGTGAGGAAAAGGTAAAGCTGAGGGTTGTTCCAGGGGCCAAAGTGTCACACCTTGGGTCCCTGGGATGGCTGAGGACGCCTGAAGACTACAGGGCAAAGAATGGTGAGGAAAAGGTAAAGCTGAGGGTTGTTCTGGGGCCAAAGTGTCACACCTCTGGTCCCTGGGATGGCTGAGGACAGGGAAGGAGGGAAATGGGGCTGGGGGCTGCACAGCCTGCAGGAGCAGGAGGTGCTCAGCTCCCACGAGGAGGGGAGAGCCTTGCCCGAACGCCTCCATCACTAATCTGAAATTTGTCTGCCTTCTGCATTTGATCTCCTCATTTTCCTCTTCTGTGCCTTTTTAATGCTGTTTGTAGCCATTTCAATTATGTGATTTCCTTATCTGTGTACCATGGAGAATACTGTACAAGGCTTTATAAACAGCTCCTAAGTTTATCTGCCTGTCATTTGCTTTTCATTATGCGAGATAACAATCTTCCTCATATCTTATAAGAAGATAGAATGTGATTGTTTTGAAATGGGGAGGGGGAAAAGAGTCTGCTCTGCATTATCCTCAGCCCCATAGCATTTGTAACGTCACCAGTGTCAGCACAATCTCCAACATTTTTCCTTGCTGTGGTCCAGGAAGAATTATCTCCGTAGTTTCTTGTGCTTGCTGCTATCTCCTCTTTTTCTCCATTTTAGACACAGAGAGGTTCTTATCTGGAGCGTGGTTCTGCAGCTACAGATTTGCCTAAATTCAGTGTGATCGCTCCAAACCCTTTGGAGGAGCTCGTGCACCGAGGGGAAGGGTGAGAGGCAATTGTCAGCAGCTGGCTGGATTAAATATGGACAGATATTATTCATGTCATTTGACAGTTCCTGACTCTCAGCTGTATAATGACAGAGCAACAGTAGGAATTCCAGCAGCCCAGCTTCTGTCTTACTTCAAGATAAGCTTATCAACCGTAGCCTGAATCCATTCAGCTCCTCAGCAGATCAGAGCTCGTGTCAGGCTGAGCTGATTCCTGCTTCCTGCCCTGCTCTGCACGTCCCTGTGGGCTGGGCTTTGCCAGCTCACAGCTGCCTTGCAGGGCTTTCAGCAGACAGACTGTGCCCTGTGTGTGCTGTGCCCCTTGTCCAGGGCAGCCCTGGATGCCCCTGGTGCCCCCGAGTGCCCCTGGAGCAGAGCAGGGCAGGAGGGACCGGGGGTGCCAGCCCTGCTGGGCTTTGCTCTCCTCTGCAGCTCCTTCATCTGCAAAGAGCAGCTGCTTTGTTTGGCTTCTTAAGGTGCAAACTTCATCCTGAGGATTTTCCCGTGCCGTCCACGCCAGAGATTCAGAGGGATCTCGGAACAATGCAGGAATCACAGCTGTCACTGCACACTCCGTGGTTCGGGGTTAAGAATTGACCAAGAGTCTGGAATTTCCCTTGTGTGCCCTCCACATTACAGCACCAACTTGTGGGGTTTGGTGTCAGGGGACAATCGTGGGTTCAGAGAACTTCTGGCAGGTGAATGTTCAATTTAAAAAAGAAAAAGCAAAGTTGTGAAAGGAAATTCAGTGGGTTTGATTATACAGGATTTGATCAGGCAGAGTTTGATCCTCCAGGAGCTGGAAACTCCTCCAGGCTGGGATTATCATTCTGGCCCTGCCTGTACAATGAAGAGCACAAAACATATAAAAATGTGCAAATGTTGGCACTGGCTGTGGCCACAGGCCAGCGTCCAGCCCTTGTCCCCTCACAGCTGTGCCAGTGTCCCCCCTGCAGCTGGCAGATCAGGGACACCCAACAAAGTCAATCACTCCAGACATCTCCAGAATATTTTCAAGTCATTTGTGTTTATTAAATCATTGTTGGTTTGGTTTTTCTGCTCTGAATGTGGTCACTTTTTGAGGGGCAGCAAAAAAAGTGATCATTACTAGAAAAATGGAAGATATAGAAGTTCTGCAGTTTCTTTGCTGCTTGACTTTTCCCTGGAATACGTTGGGAGAAATATGAGTTCACATTTCAGAATTAAATGCATGCCTCAACAGCTCAGTTTATGCACTCATAATTATATTTACAATTAGAAACAATGTAATTGGGAATAGAACTTTTTCTGTTGGCTGAGTGCACAAAATGAGTTGTGGAGAAAACATCGTTTAAGCCGTTCTTTCTTCCCCACAATTTAGGAGCATTTAAGCTTCATCTCCGACTCGCATTGGGAAATTAGGGGCTAATTAAGTCCACAGGGGCAGTACTCAGGTGAAAGACTGCTGGGTCCCTCCCGAAATTCCCTTCTGCACAGCAAAGCCCGAATGTTGGCACACGACAGGACACAAACGCTCCCGTGCCATGGCTCCCGGTAAGTATTTTAATTCTTTCAGAGCCGAAAAGCCAAGCTTTAAATGGAAATGCAGATGGGAGAGGGCACGTGGCACGGAGTAATTGAGAATTCCCTGCCCTGCCAGGCGGGGTTAATGGGCAGTGCCCTGCAGAAATGCGGCTCCTGCGATCCTGGAAATGTCACAGTGCTACAAAGCGAGGCGCTGATCCAGGTCCTGGTGGTGTGGAGCGGAGGCTGCAGGGCAGCTCTGAACCCAAACGCATAATTTGTAGACACAGGATGTCATTTACGATTGCTTACCTCTCATTAAAACTAATCAGAGCGGCTTTCTGGTGAAAATTGATTTTTAATTGGAAAAGTTACATCTGTGAACCTGTTTTCTTTTCCCCTGAAAAGCTGGGAACTGATGGACAATGTCCTTGTCTGCTGAGAGCTTCAAGAGCTCTGAATGACCTTTTTTTTTCCTTTAGATTTTGGCCAAAACTAGCATTACAAATATTTATTTGTATGCTTTGCAGGACGATTTTAGTCAGAAAAGTTATTTTCCATCAAAAAAAAAGAACTGAGGGGATGCTTTCACTCGCCACCTTGGGAAGCACGTGGATGCTGGGATGCCAGCAGGAGGGCAGGACCTTCCAGCAGCTTCCACATGTCTCAGGTACCTTCACTGTCACAGTCACTGGCAGCACAAGGTGCAGCAATGTCACTTTTAATTAAAACCTTTTGTTTTACCTGCACACAGAGCAGCTGCAGCTACACAGCACGGACAAGGCCAAGGCTGTGGAGTGGAAAAGGAGACATTGGTAATGGGACACTCCCCAAAGCTGGTTTGTGCCAGGGATCCCAGAAAAGGCTGCTCACTTCTCCCTGCTCTGGGCTGGGGATGGGGCATGGGATGCTCTGGGAGGCTTTTCCAGCCAGGATGATCCTGTGAAACAGCTGGAGGCTCAAGTTCTTTGGGAATTTCAACACAAACCCCTTCACAAAGAGATGATAGCAGCTCCCATTGGATCCCCGAGGTGTCCTGAACCCTGAGTGAGACCCTGCAGGAGAGCAGAGATCTCTGAACCCTCAGTGTGACCCTGCAGGAGAGCAGATATCTCCTTTCCCCCCTGCTGGAATGTGCTCCCAGGCCTGGCAGGGCCCTGTCCCCCCCAGGAGCTGTTTTGGGGTGACTGTCACAGGATACCAGGAGCTGACGTGTGTCACTGTCCCTGTTTTGCCCGTCCCAGCCGAGCAGGGTGACAATTCCCTGGGAATCAGAAGGGTCCTGCCAGGGCCCAGCCAGCTCTGGGTGCTCCCAGCCCTGCCACCCAAACTCAGCCAGGAACCCCACAAAACCCAGTGGGGCAGGGAGCGTTTCCAGGGTGCTGGAGGTGGGAATGTCCCCACAGGGAGTGGGGACAAGGACCTGGAGCACAGGAGGAGGTTTGCTCCAGCCTGGCCCTGCCAGCTCCCCTCTCCTCCCTTCCCAAATGCAGGTAAACACTCACCTGCAAGGAGGGCAAGGCTGTTCATTAGATAATAACACTGGGTTATTTTAAACTGAACCACTGCTGTGCAAGGAGGGTTTATTGCTTGTTTTGCTGAGATATTTTTTCCCCTTGTGAGCGCTCCCAGAAATATCCTTGCCTCTCATTTTCCCGAGGATTTTCTGAAGACCCCAGGGAGCAGAACTCCATTAGCTGAAGTCACCTTTCTGTCACACGAGCCAGGTAGCAGCCAGGCAGGAGACACAAAGGACCTCTGGAATTTAAACTTCTCTGCTGCTCTGCTCAACACAGCCGAGCAAGAATTTATGCTGGCACCGAAGTTCTCCCAGCTAGGCTGTGCTATTTAAAACGGGATTTCATCCTAATGAGCCTAAAATAAACCAGTGTGTGGAAGGAGATTTCAAAGTACCCTCAGTGGGATCGGGGGGCTCGGGAGGAGGAGGAAAAGCACCAAAGGCAGCCGGAGAGCACCCTCTCCTGGACACGGAGCCCTCGGAGCGCTCCTGCTGCAGCTCCCGTGCCAAGGGAAGCTGCCCGGATAGCGCTTCCCATCTGTTTTCCACGGAAAACACTGGAAACATCCATCCGAGTTTCCTTCTCTTTGTGTTTTCTATTAAATCATGAAACATTACCAGAAGCAGGGGTGCGGTTTGCTGTGAAAGGTTCATTTTCAGCACGGTTTTATCGTTACTGGAATATCCTTCGGGTGGGTCACCCAGCACATCGGGGTTAGTCATTTTCTGTATCCAACCAACAGACGCTGCATTTTGACCTATTTCCAAGATTATCATAAAAATATAATTTTTTTTCCACTCTAGAAAAATAGCTTGCGGAGATACATTTTATTTTGTAGTGCTTTAAAGAGAAAATATCTTTTATTTATTTGATATTCTGCTGTCTTCAGGAGGATGCTCTTCTGTTTCTGCCTTTTGACTGGATAGATTTGATGGTGAAGTTTTCAGTGCACATTTAAAATCTGCTCCCCATGAATACCCTGCCACGTTCTCTGAAATTCACAGATGAATGAATTTTTACAGGATTCCTGGAAAGCAAATACATCTGACCACGGGGAATATTAGCCTGATAAAGATTTAATTGTAAAATGACAATGAGCAGCAGTTGAAGTTCAGATAGTATTTCCCTGGCTGTCATTTCTGCGTGCAGATATTATTCTAATAGCAAACCCTCTCATCTTTGTTACCCTTTTCATGATCTTTTCAGTGCCTGAAAAAGTCAAGTACCAATATCTTGTGACACAAACACAAAGCAGAAGCCTTTTTTCCAGAAGGATTTTTTTTTTTTTTTGTAGTGGGTGATACAGAGTTCATGAATAGCAGCATTGATTTGTAATACTAAACCAAAATTCTTCATCATCATTATTTTTATTATTATTTTTTATTATTTTCACACCAGGACTTACTAAGCTAAATACCTGCTAACTAAGGACCAGTAAATCAAATTTTTTTAGCTGGAATATCCCAGATGCTCTGTACAACAGCAAAGCTCAAATTAATTTCTGATCAAGAACATGTGCAGCCACACTCGTTCTCTGTGCCATATCTGAGTAAATTAAAATCTGCACATAAAGAAAGTCTCTCCTCCACTTTGTTGATCATTCTAACATTATCAAATGTCATCTAGAGTAACATAAATAGAGATTCAACTCCTCCTCACCTGGACAATCCCACTAAACTCAGAGCAGGACTTTCCCTCCTGTAGCTCCAGTGCTGTGGGAGGTGTATTTAATAACTGATGGATAATCACAAAAGGAATTCTCTTTTTCCCTACCAGCAGCTCGTTCAGAGGGAATCCTGGCAGGAGCTGGAGAGGGCTGCTCCAAGAGGCAGGAAATGAGGAGCCCTGCTGGCCCTGGCCGGTGCAACTCCCCTGTCTCTGACCCCAAAAAGGTGACCCCAAGGCACTGCTTGTCCCAGAGCTCTGGAGCACAAACCTCCTGCAGGAGGGCAAGATTTGTAGAGCAAAACTGAAGGCAGAAGATGATTTTTTGTAAGCTTGGGAGTGCATGGATTAATAAATCCTGCTTGTCCCAGCTCTAAGGAATTCCATTCTGTCTAAATTTCAGTTTGGTTTTCTGCTTTCCCCCCCAGTAGAGCTGAACCTGGGAACAGCATCACTCAAAGGCTCGTTAGTTTGATGAAGTGGCAAAAGTGACTCCAGCTCCCGTGGGTACTCCCAGCTCCGAAGCATTTACACACCCCAAGGGAATTCTGAAAAACACCACAAGCCTTTAGGTACTGAATCACAGGCAACTATTTTGAATCTTTAATTTTTTTTTCTATATTCTTTTCTATGAGGATGTCAGAACTAAAATATGGAATATGCTTTTCCCACTTGGTTCCTATTACTTGTAAAGCATTCAAAAGCTTCCAGAATAAAATTACCTCTATGCCCTGCCAGGGAGCAGGCAGAGCTCCACGGAGTATCAAGGGAGTCCCTCTGCTGGTGTTGCTTTCCATTTTTAACCCAAATATAATCATAAAAATGACTAAATGTGAGACTGGAGCTGTACAGCCTTAGATTCAGCATTTATTTGTTATCATGTTCATCCCAGTGGAGTTTTACTGTGCTTTTATATTTATACAAAAAGTGCTGAAATATATTCCATAAATTAAGGAGTTCATTTTCAGGTGTGACATATTCATCATCGGCACCATCATCATCATCATCATGTGAGTTTGTTTTCAAACTTTGCTCATATGAGAGCAGCCAATTTGCATTTAGGAAAAAAAAATATTGAGAGAGAAATGCAAAGAGATGAGAGATGCAGGAAGCTGAATTCTGCCCTGAAATTACATCCCCTACTTCTCCATCCCAACTGCACATTTTCCATGGGGGGAAAGGCACTGAGGCACATTTAACCCCATAAACGCCTGACATTTCCCCTGGGTGGATTTGGGTCTGCGTCCTGACAGTGAAGAATTAAACAACTCAACAAAAACCACATTTCTACTTTGTTCCAGTATTCGTTTGAGGCTTAATCACAGTTGTCAATGTGCCATTGCAGTGAATAACATTTTCATATTGAGTTATTTTACAGTTCCTACAGCAGTAAGGAATATCTTAGGGTACTAACTGATTGTTTTGGCTTTATTTATTGTACAGGAAAGCAATGACATTGAAAATATTGTATAAACAGCAAATACACCGAGCAGCAAAATCCCTACCCTGCATTATGAATTGAAATGACATTATTTTAAAACATTTGAAAAAAAAATCATCATAATTATATGTTCTCAACACAGAGACAAATTACCTATTATTTTAACATAATTAATTTGAGCTCAGAGCATTTATTTTGCTGTGTGTGTCATTATCCATCAAAATGCTAAAAACTGGGGGTTGAATCTTAAGTTTTTTTCTCCAAATCTGGCAATTTTTTTGTCTCCACCTTCAATACCTGAAAGTTTTAATTACAGTTGGCATTTCAGTTTGTTGTCTGTTCCCTAGGCCAGATTTCCAAGCTCACTTGTGCTGGTCTTGCATTAGGGCCTTCAGGAGAGCTCTCCCTCTTCAGTGAGCTCAGGTTTGTAACCAAGGTTCTGTCCTTTCCTTAGGACACGGATGGGTTTTGAGGGTTTTTTGCATCTTATTGGTATACCCTGATTGTTTATTCATTTATCCTGCTGGTTAATGCATTTTTCTCTTTCAAACACCCTCCTCCATGTGAAAGGCAGAGGGAACAATGAAAGGTGTGGTATTTCAGGGGTCGGGTTTGTTCTCCTGGCTGGCTGAACAGGTACCTCTCTTCCCAGCACTGCCCAGGTCTGGGCTGTGTTTTCTCTGAGCTCAGGGTGGGATCTGCTGCTCCTGTGTGGTCTGGGGTGACAGGAGATGGATGGAAGCTCTGCATGAAGGCACAAGTCCACCCATTCCTTGCTGTCCTGTCTCCAGGACAGCACTGAGGCCACAGCTGTCCAAACTGTGCAGGCAAGGCCTGTCTCCGAGGCTCTGACGGGCTCTGACTTTTTATGCCTCTGATTTTCTTCTCCCTTGTCTCTCATGATTGGCGTTTGTCGTTTCTGGGCCGTGTTTGCTTGCACTGCACTTGTGGGGAGCCCGGAGCGGTGCAGTATTTTCATGTCAGCCGGGTTAAGGGTGACGAACATTACACATGCACACTGATTTATGCCTCAGAGGCTGCAAACCGTGTCAAGTGTGATCTCAGCACAGCTCTGCTCCATGACTCAAGCGCTCGGTGCGGTGTTACACTCTCAGACATCAATCCTCAGCCAGGCAAGGGAGAACTCCTCCAGAGCATCCACAAAGTCCTGGGCTGGCGGAGATATCAGTTATTCATGAGCTAATAATGGTGTTTGCAATGTTCGTGCCAAAGCCAGAATCCCATCATCACTGAGGGTGGAAAAGCCCTCCAAGCTGTGCCCGTCCCCACCCTGTCCCCAGCCCAGAGCTCTGAGTGCCACCTCCAGGAATTCCTGGGACACCTCCAGGGATGGGCACTCCAAACCTCCCTGGGCAGTGCCTGCCAAAGCCTGACCACCCCTTCCAGCAACAAATTCCTCCTGGTGTCCCCCCTGAGCCTCCCTGGCACAGCTTCTTATCCCGGTCTTTCCATAGTTCTATTTTCCAGCGCCATGTGTCAGGAGCTCCTGTGGACAGCTGTGGGTCTGAAAGGTGCTGTTCTCTGCACAATTCCTTCAATATTTCAAGCTCTGTGTCGTGCTGAAGTCAGTGCCAGTGACTGTTTTTTCTCCTTCTGACTATCTCTGTAAAACAGAGCTCAGAGGGAGGGATCTGACAGTCAGAATTCCCTTGGGACACCAAAGGCCCCGACCCTCAGGCGCCTGCCCAGCCACTGCTGCTTCTGCTGCCGGTGCCTCTCCCCGTCTGCTTTTAACCACACGGAGCTGCCCTGACCTGAAAAACCTTTCCCAGCACAGCCATTACCAAAATCCAGCAATCCCTACGAAAAGCAGTAATTCGGCCCCACCTCATGTTCCCCCTGAAGGAAAAGAGGCTGAGAATTCCCACATTTGCAGCGTGCTGGGAAATCCCCGAGGTGGGAAGCAGAGCCCTGAGCAGTGCAGTTTGCTCCTGAGCGAGCCCTTCTGCAGGGCAGGGAGGGGAGATGGAGAAGGTGCAGGGAATTCCTCTTTGCCACGGCACAGCGGCTCAGCCCATCTGAATCTTCTGTTAATTTAACACATCCCGTCAATAGCGTGTGATTAAAATACGGCCAAATAATGCAGCAGGCACACCGCGGGTGAGGGCTGGGGCCGGGCACGGCTCTGGGGCTCAGGTGAGGGATGGGCACGGCTCGGAGTTCAGGCTGGGGACTGGGCACAGCTGGGCCAGGCACGGCTCTGGGGCTTAGGATGAGGCCGGGCACGGCTCTGGGGTTCAGGCTGGGGCCGGGCACAGCTCGGGGTTCAAGCTGGAACCGGGCACGGCTCGGGGTTTACCGCCGCCGCCCCGCTGCCTCACGGCCCAGCCTGCCCGGGCGCAAATAATGCAGCAGGCACACCGCGGGTGAGGGCTGGGGCCGGGCACGGCTCTGGGGCTCAGGTGAGGGATGGGCACGGCTCGGAGTTCAGGCTGGGGACTGGGCACAGCTGGGCCAGGCACGGCTCTGGGGCTTAGGATGAGGCCGGGCACGGCTCGGGCTTCAGGCTGTGGCCGGGCACAGCTCGGGGTTCACGCTGGAACCGGGCACGGCTCGGGGTTTACCGCCGCCGCCCCGCTGCCTCACGGCCCAGCCTGCCCGGGCGCTGACGGCCGGCACTGAGCATGCTCGGCTCCCGCACATCCGCCGGCGCCCGGCGGCCGAGCGGGGGGAGCGGTGCCGGTGCCGGCGGGCTCGGCGGGGGGGGGAACCCGGGAATCTGCGTGAGCGCCGCGGGGCCGGGAGGGGTCCGGGGGTTCTGGGTGAGGGCCGGGGGTCATGGGTGAGGGTCCGGGGGTTCTGGGTGAGGGCCCGGGGGTCTGGGTGAGGGTCCGGGTGAGGGTCCGTGCATCCCGGGCAGTGGGTGGTCCATGGATCTCGGGCAGGGATGCTCCATGGGCACTGAGCAGTGCTCCGTGCATCCTGGGGGATTGCCCACGTGGATTGTCCACGCTCCATGGGCGCTGCGGGGTCATGTCCGTGTGTCCCGGCAGTGATCCGCGGTCACTGGGTGCTGTCCGTGTGTCACCGGAGGGCTCCGTCGTGCATCCTGGGGGATTGCCCACGTGGATTGTCCACGCTCCATGGGCGCTGCGGGGTCATGTCCGTGTGTCCCGGCAGTGATCCCTGGGTGATGTCCGTGTGTCCCGGCAGTGATCCGCGGTCACTGGGTGCTGTCCGTGTGTCCTGGGTACTGATCCATGGTCGCTGGCTGCTGTCCGTGTGTCCCCGGAGGGCTCCGTGCAGCGGTGCCGCAGCCACTGGGCGATTGCCCCTGCCGGACCCGGAGGTCCCACGGTGCCCGCAGCTGGGGGCTCTCGGGCAGCAGGATGTCCCTGTGCCACCCGGAGCAGTGTCACTCATTCCCTCTCCCCAGCAGTACCGCGGTGCCCGCAGCTCGGAGCTCTCGGGCAGCAGGATGTCCCTGTGCCACCCGGAGCAGTGTCACCCATCCCTTCTGCCTGGGGTCCCGCGGTGCCCGCAGCTCAGGGGATGTCCCTGTGCCACCCAGAGCGGTGTCACCCGTCCCCGGGCCCAGCTGACCGCGCCGTGTCCCCGCAGTCCCCGGCAGCACCACGGTGCTGGTGGAGCTGACGCCCGACATCCACATCTGCGGCATCTGCAAGCAGCAGTTCAACAACCTGGACGCCTTCGTGGGGCACAAGCAGAGCGGCTGCCAGCTCACCAGTGCCACGGCCGGCGCCACCAGCACCGTCCAGTTCGTGTCCGAGGAGACCGTGCCCAGCACACAGGCTCAGAGCACGAGCAGGACCATCGCCTCCGAGACACAGACCATCACAGGTACACAGACCTTCACAGGTGCACAAAGCATCGCAGGTACCCCCAAACCTGCACAAGTACACCAAACTTCACAGGTACTCCCAAACCTGCACAGGTATCCCCAGACCATCACAGATACCACCAAACCACCACATGTACCCAGACCTGCCCAAGTACCCCCAAACCTTTACAGGTACCCCCAACCTTCACAGGTGCACAGACCATCACAGGTACCCAAACCATCACAAGTACCCCCAAACCTGCACAGGTACCCCCCAAACCATCACAGGTACCCATACCTGCACAAAGTACCCCCAAACCATCACAGGTGCACAGACCATCACAGGTACCCAAACCATCACAAGTACCCCCAAACCTGCACAGGTACCCCCAAACCATAACAAGTACCCAAACCTTCACAGATAACGCCCAGACCATCACAGGCACCCAAACTCCCAAACCATCACAGATACCACCAAACCATCACAGGTACCCAGACCTGCACAACTACCCCCAAACCTTCACAGGTGCACAGACCTTCACAGGTACCCCCAACCTTCACAGGTACCCAACCCTGCACAGGTACCCCCCAAACCATCACAAGTACCCAAACCTTCACAGATAGCCCCAAACCATCACAGGTACACAAAGCTTCACAGGTACACCCAAACCTGCACAGGCATCCCCGGACCATCACAGGTACACAAAGCTTCACAGGTGCACAGACCTTCACAGGTACACAAAGCTTCAGAGGTACCCAAACCTTCACAGGTACCCCCAAATCTGCACAGGTATCCCCAGACCATCACAGGTGCACAGACCATCACAAGTACCCAAACCTTCACAAGTACCCCCAAACCTGCACAGGTACCCCCAAACTATCACAGGCACCCAACCCTGCACAGGTACCCCCAACCCATCATATGTACCCAAACCATCACAGGTACACCCAAATCACAGGTACCCAACCATCACAGGGGTACAAACCTTCACAGGCACCTCCATGTCACCTGCCAGGTGCCAGCCCTCTGTCCCTGTGTCCCCATCACCCAGCTGAAACAACAGTTTTCACATAAGTTGTCATGTAACCAAGGAAATGAAACAGTTCTGTGCTGCCTTCTTGGGTCTGTTCTAACAATAGTTGCTTAATTTGCTAATTGAGGTGCAAGTTCTCTCAGAGAATTGCTCAGGTCTATTGTGTTGTGGAACTAGCTTGTGCCTATTAATTAAAATTGTCGATACTTATGAAAAATACTGAAATTACTGTGCATTTTATTTTTTTAAGAGTGCTCTGGATGGAAAACACAGAATTGCTGTCAGGCACCCATCCAGACCTTTTTATGTGAGAACACTGCATTCCCTAACATTGCTCCCAGAACTAATTGGCAGGAAAAATATTACTCAAAATTTCTGCCTATGAGAAGACTTGAGTGAGGTCCTAATCCTGGAGACATTTAAATAAAATTAGGATCTTGTTCCGTGTGTGAAGGTTTGCCCTTCTATATATAGTTTTGTTTTATTTTGGTGTGGGACCTTGCTAAACAGCAAATTATTTGACTCTAATTTGGATAGACAGGTTAAGGCAGGGAATCTGGAAGAGCAGTGAAACAAACTGAATTCAGGGCCCACTTCCAGGAATTTTTGTATTATAATCCCTCAATTCAGTGTGGGTTTTGGGTGAGTCACTTTTCTGCTTCATATTTACTCATCTTTAAAATGAGGACAGTTCTATCCATTTGCCCTTTTGGGCTATAGTGTTGGTTAATTGATTTAAAAGCTGCTACTTTGGCTGAGATATTTTCACCTGTTATTCTTGTGAGTAACAGCTAAAAACAGTAGAGTTGAAAGAGGCTGAACTTTTTTAACAATTACAAAAATAATTTGCGTGATGCCTTTTGACAACATTTGCCATATAAATAATGATATTTTTTTCTCATTTGGGTTATAACACAGAGTTGAAAAACAGATATGTCTTTATTTGGTGTTTGGAAGAGAAAAACTTTTTTCCTTTCCTCCTCCCCCAGGTAAAGAGCAACCCAGGAACAGGAATGTTGCTGGAAAAAAAACAGAGAATTCATGAAACTAGACAATTATTAGATTTTTTTTTTAAATCTGATTAGAGAAGTTATTTAAGTTTTTTATGTGTTTAGTTTCTGCCCCAGAGTTTGTTTTTGAGCATGGCTACCAAACCTACCTGCCCAGTGAGAGCACAGAGCCTCCAGCTGCTGCTGTCGTCTCCACACCACCAAAAGCAAGGTCCAAGAAACCCTCCTCCTCAGTGCCCCTGAAGAAACTCAGCTGCCTGTACCCAGGTGAGGTGGGGATTGTCCCCATTTTAATGTGGAGAGCTTTCCTCTGGTGGCACACAGGAGATTTGATAGCTCTGGAGTGAGCTGCCTCTAAGGGGAAGCATTAGAAACTCAAGTTCACAGGTGGGCTGGTCGCTGTTTTAAGCAGATGTGAGTAAACAAGATGAGGAATTAACTGTCTGTTAACAGTGAATTTTAAAGAACTGTTGAAAATAAACATGCCCGGAATATGGTAATGTATTTTTATTATTTTGCTAAATTTTCCTTGAATTTAATGATCTTTATCCTCCTGTTTTCAGGGTGCCAGTTCAAGACTTCCTATGGTATGAAGGATCTGGAACGTCATCGGCGAACACACACAGGTTTGTGTTCCTGTATTTTCTTTTGGGTTGGTTTCCTCCTTTCAGCTTTTTCACAAAAGCCCTTTTCCTATGAAGTAATGTCTCTGTAAACAGGATGTAGACATGTCTGTGCTTTCTAGCATTGTCCTGGCCTGTGTCTGAGGACCTGCCTGATGGGGACATGCCCTGTCAGGCACAGCCGAACACTGGAGGTTGGTTTGAGGCACAGTTTAACTTCTCGAGTGCACACCATGTGTTTATCGAGGTGCAGTGTGGTGGGAGTGCACACACCTGCTTTGCTCTTTATATTAAAGCACTTCCATGATTTTACCTCCCAATTTTGGAGTTGCAGAGGGAGAAGGCTCCAAAGGCTCTGCTGTTTGTCACAGCTACGCCTGCAGCCCCTACAGACGAGTCCCTTTCATGGTCAGCATTCAGTCTGTGCTTTGTGCTTTACCACACACCCTCCCCATGCCCAGGGCTGAGTGTGAGTGCTGCTGTTGCAGGAGACAAGCCCCACAAGTGCGAGGTGTGCAGCAAGTGCTTCAGCCGCAAGGACAAGCTGAAGATGCACATGCGCTCGCACACGGGCGTGAAGCCCTACAAGTGCAAGCACTGCGAGTACGCGGCGGCCGACAGCAGCAGCCTCAACAAGCACCAGCGCATCCACTCCAACGAGCGCCCCTTCAAGTGCCAGATCTGCCCCTACGCCAGCCGCAACTCCAGCCAGCTCACCGTGCACCTGCGCTCGCACACAGGTGGGGCTTCACTCGTGTCCATGGCTCTAAGCTTGGAGGGTCACAGAGATTATTTGGAGTCATGTATACGTGTTCAGATCTCAAAAGGGGTTATCTGAGTTTCCAGTGAGTGTCTCTTCAAGTGCCAGATCTGTCCCTATGCCAGCCATAGCTCCAGCCAGCTCACCGTGCACCTGCACTCGCACACAGGTGGGGCTTTACTCATATCCCTGGCTCTAAAGCCTGCGAGTACGCGGCGGCCGACAGCAGCAGCCTCAACAAGCACCAGCGCATCCACTCCAACGAGCGCCCCTTCAAGTGCCAGATCTGCCCCTACGCCAGCCGCAACTCCAGCCAGCTCACCGTGCACCTGCGCTCGCACACAGGTGGGGCTTCACTCGTGTCCATGGCTCTAAAGGTTGGAGGGTCACAGAGGTGATTTTAGGTCATGTATAGGTGTTCAGATACCCAAAAGGAACGATTTGAGTTTGCAACAAGTGCCCCTTCAAGTCCCAGATCTGCCCCTGTGCCAGCCACAACTCCCGCCAGCTTTAGTTTTGTTGCTGCTTCTATTTTTCCAAAATGTATTATTTTTTTCAAAGCTGTCATGCGCACACCCAATTTCAGGAGAAAAGTATGTAGAATACATTGCTTACTAGAATTAAATTAATAATCCTCTAGAAGGTGAGTGTAATCCCCATTGCTCAGAACAAGATCATCTTCACTTGTTGAACTAGTCACTAAACATCAGCTTCCTGTAAATTCGAGTGCAACTACTCTTAGAATTAATAATCTGTGGTCTGACACAAGTTTTTATCTAAATCCTGGCAGTGTCAGTTAGGAATGGGCAGAAACATGAAGAAACACAGAGTAGGCCACTCTTTAAACAAACAGAACCAGCATTTGCTATATTCTTTTTCATATATATTGCGCTACCCTGTATATGAAAATTAAGTCATTGAAATATGAACTGTGCCTTCATCAGCAAAGCAGATAAAAATTCAGTAGCTGAGTGTGCAGCTGAGGCTGTAAAATAAACTAGATGAACAAACAGTGCATCTTCATTAATAAAGTCTGTTTAATACAGATAGTACACCATGTATCTCAATTATTAAACAGATACATGGATTAGCACAGTAGGCCACAACTCGATTTGAAAAATATGCAGCTAAACCTATGACATATGTAGCTGGATAAGCAAATTATGCAAAATTATACAGCTCTCACAAACTTTATAAAATATTAACTTCTAAAATAAATCAGCCATTTGCAGTTTGATTATTAAAGAGGATAAATGCTTCTTGAACTAAATGCACTTTCTTTTTCCTCCTTTCGCCAAGAGTGTCTTAGAACCTAACAACACAATTCTTCCACTTTTTCAAAATAATGCCTACCTAAAGACTTCATCCTCGGGTGAAAAATACAGAGAACTGTATTTTTAGATTTAAGAAAGAAAAGAGAGTAGTTATTTAGTTAGGTTGCTGAGTTTGCTTTGGATTTTTTTAAATGGCTTTAGAACAGCCTCACTGGAGTTGATTAGGGATTAGCAGAGCTCCACCTTAACGTGGTCATGGATATGGTGACACCAGCCTGCAGATGCAGAAAATGCAGAATAACGGGTTGAGATCTGAGTGTGTCAGAGCAGGTGAGGATCCTGTGTCACGAAATTCCTCCTGACACCGCGAACGCGTTGGGCGTTGAGGACGAGGCGGCTGTGGGGGCTTCATCCAGGTGTCCCTGTGTAACCCGTGCCTTCCGTTGGCAGGAGATGCCCCTTTCCAGTGCCAGCTGTGCCCCGCCAAGTTCAAGATCAACTCGGACCTGAAGCGGCACCTGCGGGTGCACTCGGGGGAGAAGCCCTACAAGTGCGAGTTCTGCGAGGTGCGCTGCGCCATGAAGGGCAACCTGAAATCCCACGTGCGCATCAAGCACAGCATGGAGAACACCCTCAAGTGCCCCGAGTGCGACTTCCAGTGCGGCAACAAGACCAGCCTGAGGCACCACATCCGCAGCCACCAGCCCGAGCAGCCCGTCAAGTGCTCCGAGTGCAGCTACTCGTGCTCCAGCAAGGCGGCCCTCAAGGTGCACGAGCGCATCCACGGCAAGGAGCGCCCCTTCAAGTGTGACTTCTGCACCTTCGACACCAAGCAGCGCAGCAACCTCACCACCCACGTCCGCAAGGCCCATGGCGACAAGGCCAAGGGCAGGAAGCACTCGCTGGACAAGAAGGAAGGAGAGAGGCCGAAGCAGGGCGGCTCCAGGCAGGTTGCCAAGCTGGATGCCAAGAAGGCCTTTAAGTGTGACCTGTGCGACGCGTCCTTCGTGCGGGAGGACTCCCTGCGCAGCCACAAGAAGCAGCACAGCCTGTACAACGGCTCCAAGGGCGGCGAGCTGGCCGTGCTGCAGCTCCAGATGGATCCCGGCCGCCAGCCCAGCGCCCCCATCACCGTCAGCCACCTCCAGGTGCCGCTTCAGGCCGCTCAGGTGGCCCCGTACAACGAGGGCAGAGTCAAGATCATCGTGGGCCACCAGGTGCCTCAGGCCAACAGCATCGTCCAGGCCGCCTCTGTGAACGTGGTGCCCCCGGGGCTGCTGGGCACGGGGCAGGAGGAGGTGCTGGGCAGCGGCCGCCTGCAGCTGCTGGGCCAGGTCAGCGTGCTGGCCCCGGCCCCGGTGGCCGCGGGGGACGCGGGGCCCGTGGCGGAGCCGGCCGTGCTGCTGAGCGCCCAGGAGCAGGGCGAGGGCAGCGCCCTGCACCAGGCCCTGCTCCCCGGGGCTGCCCCCGGGCACGAGCCCCCCGCCAGCCAGGCCTTCATCACCAGCTCCGGCATCAGCTGCTCCGACCTGGAGGGGCTCAACGCCCTCATCCAGGAGGGGGCCACGGAGGTGACCGTGGTCAGTGACGGCGGGCAGAGCATCACCGTGTCCACGGCTGCTCCTCCTCCCCCCATCTTCTCGTCCTCCTCCCACACGGAGGGCCCCAAGCAGAGCTATTCCATCATCCAGAGTGGGGCTCACACGGCACTGCTGTGTCCCGCAGACTCCATCCCCGATTACACTGCTCTCTCCTGGGGCACTGCTGAGCCTGCCAGGAACGCGCAGCACACAGCTGAACTCAGGATTTGTCCTCCAGGGCACCTTCCACTTCCTCACTGTGTTTGTACACTGAAGTATCTTGTGTGTGAGGAGGAGGAGGTGTTTGTATTTCTGTGCCTGTGCTGCAGTCAGAGGCCCTGCTCCTTGGAAAGCAGCTGTTGCCAGTGTCCCCAAGCAGTGACACCCCCAGTCTGGCTCCTGGACTGTGCTGCCTGAAGAGGAGATCCTCCCTTGTGCTGAATCACGTGCACAGCAGCCTTGTTTGATGCACACGTGAAAAGACAATGAGCTGAGGAGTTTGCTGGGCTGAGGTCTCTCAGTTCTGTGCTCTGTGTGCATTCCCTGCCCTGGCTGGGCTCCGAGGAGCCCCACTGCTCCAGCCCAGGTGAAGTGTGAGGGGCTGCTCCTCAGTGTCTGTAGAAATCAGTACACCTGCTGCTCGAAATGCTCCTGCAGAGAGCAGGTGATTGTTTTCAGAAAGTAAAAGAATGTTGTCCCTCTGTGAGTAGTAACTAACTCTGTTAGCATCAACACAAATCAGCTCTGGCACGGTGATGGCTGTCAGAGGTGCCTGTGAGTTAAAGAACAAAACTGGAAATATATTTTTTACAAACACTACTTAACCTTCTGTTTTTATTTTGATGCTGCCTGTTGGGAGTTGCATGAGTGGTAAAGATGTATTACATTTTGGGTCATCTTTTCACGTTAAAGGAAAAGATTGAATTTAGTTTAATTTTTTTTTTTTAAATCTTCTAATCCAAGGGTTTTCACTCCAGCAGAAATTCAGGTTGGATCACAAGGAGATGGTAATTTATTATTATATTTATGATAATTATATCTCTATATATAATTTTATTAAATTATTAATTGTAATTTATTAATTCATTTGTTGACATAATTAAATAAATTAATCCGTTTGATTGCATAAATATCATTAATAAATAATTAATTATCATTTCTTATTTATTAATTATATTTATCTCATTTATTATGGACATTTCTCTGATGAAGGAATTCCAGGCTGTATTTTGAACTCAGCAATTGTCCGTGCAAAGGTACCACAAATTAAAGCGGTGAGTTTGCCCATCCCCGGTGGCAGAGGTGAGCTCTGCAGGCAGGCTTGCCTCAGCTCCCAGTGCTCCGTGCCATCCATAGGTGGTGCCAGAGGCCCAGGGAAGCCCTGCAGTGTGCTCTGGCTCCTGGATGACATTTCCTCTTTAACACTTCCCTATAAAAACATTTCAAAATTCAGCTTTTTAATCTCACTTAAGCGAAAAAGCTGCAGATAAAAAGAAATGCCCAAAGTTTTCTGCAAGAAGCACATCTGTGTCCAAAACTTACCCCCAACTGCTGTTAAATTGATAATATTTTGCTCCCTGGTAATGAACGTCACCCTGTTCCAGTCCCCAGCTGTAGGAGTGGCACTGCAGGAATGATAAACGCGAGGGATTTTGGCAGAGCAGCTCAGCCCCTGCCTGGAGTCACCCTGAAGATGCCACAGCTCTGTTATCTGCCCTGCAGCTGCTCAGAGAACCTGCCCAAGTAGGAAACCAGAAGTTCTGTCATATTTAGAGACTCACCTTGGTGCTGGGCCTCAGAGATAAACAGGAAAGATAAGGAAATGGTGTGAGTGAATAGGCAGAGCTCAGCGCTGCTGCTCCAGCCTGCTTTGCCTGACTGCATCCTGTGAACAAGCTAGAGACTTCTTCCTCCACCCTGAGAAAAACCAGCTGAGAACCGGGGCTGACACCGGGGAAATTTCAGTTCTCTCCCCAATATTCTGGCTTGATTTCTGTGTATGGCAGTAATGGTCTGTGTGGTTTGGAGCTGGCAGGAGCAGATTGTTTTAATCTCTGATGTTCACTTAATACATTCTTCATGTTATCAGCAGAACCATCCCAGGAGGGAGCCTGGTAATTCAGAACAAGTGTCTCCTGTAGAGCTCTCCTGCCTCTGAGCACATGGTAAATGAATCCTGTCCTCCCTCCCCAGAGCTCTGCCATGGCCTCAGAGCTCTGGAGCACGCTGGCTCTCTCCAGGACCAAATATTGGGATGGAATTTTGTTCCTGCTGCCTGGAGATCCCCAAGCTCCCCTGGTAAGTGCTGGGCCCAGGAGCAGAGCTCAGTGTTCCAGTGCTGCTCACCCAGCACAGCCCTGGCTGCAGGAGAGAAGGGAAAATGTGGATTTCCCACCCAGCACAGCCCTGGCTGCAGGAGAGAAGGGAAAATGTGGATTTCCCACCCAGCACAGCCCTGGCTCCTAAGGGGAATTATAAATTTGGATATCCCACCCAGGACAGCACTAGCTCTTAGAGAGAAGAGACAGTCTGGGTATCCCACCCAGCAGAGCTCCGGCTCTTAAAGAGAAGGGAAAATGTGGATTTCCCACCCAGCACAGTCCTAGCTCCCAAGGAAAGGGAGAATCTGGATATACCACCCAGCACAGCTCTGGCTCCAGGAGAGAAGGGAGAATCTGGATATCCTACCCAGCATAGCCCTGGCTCCTAAGGGGAATTATAAATTTGGATATCCCACCCAGTACAGCCCTGGCTCCAGAGGGAAGGGTAAATCTGGATTTCCCACCCAGCACAGCCCTGGCTCCAGAGGGAAGGGTAAATCTGGATTTCCCACCCAGCACAGCCCTGGCAGGCTCTGCTCTCTGCACAGGTTTTTCCCAGGTTGCCCGTGGGTTCCCAGGTGTGAGTTTATGGTGTGTCACAGCCTCCCTCCTCCCTGGGGATGAACTTCTGCCTGCTCAGAGGTTTGAGGTTAAACTGGGCAGGCAGAGGTGCAAAACCTGTGTGCATTTCCAATTAACCAACCCCAGCTCTTGGGCCTTCCAGCCCTTTGGGTTTGTTGCTGTTCCTGACGCTGCTTTTTAAAGCCAGACCCAGTTCCACATGAGCTGATCCTCCAGCAGACCTGCTGCAATGTGCTTTTCTCCCATGCTTTGTGAGGCAGGAATACACAACAGGCCAAAAAGCTGAAGAAAAATGTGTTTGGACACCTTTAACTGTGTTTTGGGGAGGCTGGTTCTGACTGAGCCCCAGCTCAGTGTTCCCAGTGGGGTTTGAACAGCATGGGATTAAATTTATCACTGGTGCTGTACCTTTTAGGTGGTTTTGATAAAAAACTTTTAACTGTTATTTGTATCCAAATGGGAGATTCCTGCTCCAAACCAGCCTCAGGTGTCCCGTGCACAGGGGGATTCCTGGATATGCCCAGCAAGCACTGCTGGGGGAGTGGATGGGACCAAGCCCCCACTCAGATGAGGCCTAAAAGCAGCAGAACTTGGCCCAAAGCTGCTCTGCTGGGAACTGGGGGAAAACCAAACTTCTATTGAATACATCTGGGGCTTGCAATTGAAAAATTGCAATCAAAATATTTCCCAGTCATTTTGGGATGAGCTCTTTATCACTGCTGTTATCTGACTGCACTGGAAAGTACCTTCTGTTGTGGGCTTTAAAACGTCAGAGGCATGCCTGGACATTTTCCTCTACAATACAAAGAACAGGGGAAAGGCTTGGGGTTGTTGGGGTTTTTTTTTATAATTTAGATACCTTTTTTATTCTGTATTTCTGATTCTTTATTTGTGTTTGAAGTCAAAATACAGTCAGTCATCCTTTCTGCACTGTGCTGCTCTGCTGACTGCAAAAATATTTCCTGTGTCCTCAATGGCAAGACCTCTATCCTATAATTTCAGGAATATTGACTGGCTGCTCTAATGGCTTTTTACATCTCCAACTGGAAAATCTTTAGCCTTGTTATTTAAATTTTAAGAAGAGAAACCAATATTGTTACAAGAAACTGATGTCTCCTGTCACTTCCCCAATGACCTTTCATGAGGTGATAAAGGTTTCTATAGTGACCTGAGGAAATGATGTCTCAGGTATCAGCGTGAATTAAAAGTCTGGGGCAGGAAAAGCTTTCTTTTCTCTCTCTCAGGTATCCAGTTCTGCCTTTGTCTTTATTCCAGTGCCTGGACATGGAGAAGGACTCAGAAAACATCCAGTATTTGGTTACATGGCTGTCTTTAGAGGCTTCACAATGGTGTAGGGAAGGAAAAACGTCCCTGGCAAAGCAGAGGTGGATTTTTTACAGCTGAATTCTGGAACCTGTGGGATCAGCCAGTTTATTCCAGCAGCCTCAGGAGCTGTGTTTGCCTCTCTAAAACCAGGAATTGTCACTGACTGCAGATCCAGCTTTGACGGAGGTGTTCAAGTTCCTCCATTCAGACCTGTGTAAACTTTAATTCTGAAAGTGAAAGCTCTTGGTTAGTGAGAGTGCTGCATTTTGTAGGTAAAAGTTGAACGTGATCTGGGAAATAATTAACTGAGCCTGCAGAGTGCTTTGAGGTATTTTTATTTGGTTGTTGTCTCTTGGTTTAGTTTTATTTTAAAGACACAAGGATGCATTTCTGCCTTCTCGTGCTGCTGGGTGGAACAACCTGTTCTCAGTGTCTTCCAGTTAACAAACCTGGTGTGAGACACCTCAAAAAGCCTTGGAGAAACCTCCAACGTTTTCAGCCTGAGTTTCCCATCGATGTCCTCCAAAGTGAAGGAAAGCTGATAAATCTTTGTGCTGTCTGTGGTGGCAGGGTTTGAAATCAAGGCTGGCCCTGGTGCTCTGAGCTGCCAGAGAATTTTCCATCATTTTGCTCCCCAAGCCCTGGGCCAGCAGAGCAGAGCAAGGCCAGCCCTGAGCCCTCACCTCCTCTGCCTGGTGGTTGTATTTGCACTTTCTAGATGTCAGACTGAAAGAAAAAATCCTCCCTACACCTTTTCCCAGCACAGCTCACAGCTTCCTCCTCCCAAAGTGTGGCTGCACTTCCTGCCATAATTAATGATTGGCCATAATTCATGATTCTATCAGCAATGTCAGTGTATCAGACATCATTCCAGCAGTTTGAATTTTCCATCATTTTGCTCCCCAAGCCCTGGGCCAGCAGAGCAGAGCAAGGCCAGCCCTGAGCCCTCACCTCCTCTGCCTGGTGGTTGTATTTGCACTTTCTAGATGTCAGACTGAAAGAAAAAATCCTCCCTACACCTTTTCCTAGCACAGCTCACAGCTTCCTCCTCCCGAAGTGTGGCTGCACTTCCTGCCATAATTAATGATTGGCCATAATTCTATCAGCAATGTCAGGGTATCAGACATCATTCCAGCAGTTCGCTGCTGGATTCCCCACCTGGAGAAGGATATGGAGAGCATGGGAATA